AGCTTCTCTTTTGATGATTCTCATTTTCATTCTTCTTGGTTCTAATCTGGATGTCAGAACCATCTGCCTCAAAGTAGAGGCAGTTTGCTACATTCTCTACGATGGTATGTGTACTGTCACAAATAATACTTCATAAGACCTAGTACATAGTTAGTATATTTTGGCCAGTAATAATAATTATTACAATACAATTACAATTATTGCAATAATATGTTCCATTCCAAGTGCTGGGCTATTTATAGAAAAAGGGGCAAGAAGAATTTTGAGAAAAGAAGCTATAGATTGAAAGAATTACTTCAAAGAGACAGGTGTCTGGTCTTGGACTTTTCTTGCTGAGAAAAGCAGAAGTGAGAAAAGCAAAAGTAAGACAAGCTCACATTTCTTGAAGGCAGCATTCCCCTCAGCAGTCAGTCTGTTGTTTCCCTAACAGGCCAACCACTGCTTGTTTCCCTAGTCTTTGGAACAGATAACTACTATATCCAACCAGCCTATACTTCAAGATTATAATTGACGGAGGGGGAAAGAAGCTGTTTCGCTGTCAATTTTTAATTATCTGGTAATATTAAAATATAAAGACATCTAAAGCATTAGAAAATTAATGAACTTTTCTTCCTTTTCTTTAACAAGTGAAAATAGTTATTTGTTCTCTAACATAATATTGTGTATCTGAATTAAGTTGAGCATAGTCCAAAACTATCAACATTATATTGGCAGTGCACAGTATTGTAAATTTGTTTTATAAGTTTGTAACTGTGTGCAAGAAGAAATGTAGATGGATGCTATCAAATGAACACGTATGAAAGTTTACTGGAACAATGTTTCAGAGGTGATTAATACAACCAGTTAGAGCTGTTTTGAGCAGTCCTTATCTAGAGTCTTAATTATTATAAATGAGATGGTTTGGTAAAGAAAAATCCATGCTTAAATGTATTTTTTTATTGTACTTTTTTTATTCTAAAAGAATATGGAAGGCTCCATGTTGACAATCAGCTTTGGAAATTGGATGGAGCTACCTGGACTTAAATTTAAGGATTGGGTATCTAGCAAACGAAGGTAAAGATCAATCTGTATTAATATTCTTTGGTGTACAATGAAAAGGAGATTTAAGTAAATTTCAAAATATTTATGTGATCATGTTTTAGATGAATAGCATACATGTACGTTTCTTAGAAATAGAAACACCTCTTTGCAGCAGTGATTGTATGTGATGAGCTTGTTTCCATTCAGAGGTATTTGAAACTAAGCACAGAGATAAGGGATTGCATATACATTGAGTTCTTGTGACTCTTTTATTAATCCAGTCTTACTCTCCTGTTAAATATTTGCTGAGTTACCAACTCTCATCTACCCACACATCCTTCCAATGCTCGTATCTACTTGTTTCATAGTATTTTATATATATATATATCTTCATGTATGCATATTTCCTGTGTACTTACCTAAAATGTTTGACTTTAACAGTAGAAGAATGTATGATTAATAATTCAGAAGGATGGAATGAAACTAGAATATGGATCAGGAAGAGGTGATTGAGTATGGAGATAAATATTTAATAAGAAATATGAAAGTAAGAATAACAGAAGAAATCTCAATTTGGAAGAATGCAAGTATATTTATTGTGAGGGAAAAAACTTAAAATTTAAAAAAGAAAAATATGAAAAGCTCTAATGTTTTCAAGGATAACTCAATGCCATTGAGTCAGATCTGACCCATAGTGACCCCTCCTTGGGTTTCCAAGGCAGTGTCACTGTGAAAGTAGATTGCCCAATATTCCTTCCAACTAGTGGCTGGTGGGTTTGAACCGCCAGCCTTCTGGTTAGCAGTCAAATGTCTTAGGCACTACATGAGACAGGAATTACTAATACAGAGAATCTATTCTACTTTGCCTACTCACAGAAACAAAACAAGAAGTTACTTAACCTTTGTAAGAAAAGGATGTTAACATTTGAGTGTTTGACATCCTGAAGGACACCATATTAATTCATACAAATTCTCCTTAATTTGAGATTTTAATTTGAGAAGAAAAGCAAAGTTATGCCAGCTTGAATAATTGAGATTAAATCTTCCAAAAAACTTCATTTTTTGTTTTTTAAAAAGGAACTACATAAGGATTTAAAACTTAAAGTTGCAAAACCAGGCAACTTGTACAAGTTCTTCATTTTCGTAAGTAAACAAGTGAAATTGCTCAACCTACTCCTGCTTTTGTGACATGGGTAAGAAAGGGAATACTTCATGAATTATGTACCAGAAGTGTTCATCTTTCTAAATTATGCTTACTGTGTATTAAAGTAACATGTGAAAATCAGTCTTTCAATAAATACTTGCCTTTAGTTCTGGCCTTTGCATAATGTTAAGAGCAAACTCTTAGGTCACAGTAGAGATTGACTGAGTTTGAGCTGTGACTCAATAACGTGTCATATTGTCACCTTAGGTAAGTAACTGAAATTAGTTGTCATTTTCTAAAATGTAAAATGGAGATTGTAATAATAGTAGTGACTGTTACAGAGGGTTTCTATAAAAATTGAGATTTAATACATTATAAATGTTAATTATAATCATTAAATTTTGCAAAGAAAAAATTTTATGATCTTTTTCTAATTATAAGTTAAATTGAATTATGTCATATGATTTGGTATGTTTTTGCTGCTACTTTTTAATTGGGGCATAGTATTTAGGAACATCAGTGCCAGCTGTTTTAAAGTACATGTGAAAAATGAAAGGTATTTTAATGCAATTTTTTCTTTAAAAGATTAGATTTTTAGTTCTCTTTAGGAATAGTAAGTAATTCTGGTGACACAATGGTTAAGGCACTCAGCCACTCCATGCGAGATAGATGAGGCAGTCTGCTTCCATAAAGATTTACAGCCTTGGAAACCCTATAGGGCATTCTGCCCTGTCCTAGAAGGTCATTATGAATTGGAATTGACTCACTGGCTGTGGGTTTGGGGTTTAGTTTTATTAGTAGGACACAGAGAGAAATGTTATATCATACTGACTTATATGTAACATCTTTTTTGTTCAGCGGAAGACTATGATCTGAATTATTGCCTGTCATTAGAAAAATAGCCGCTTACTAAAAATATTGTCAAGATGGTCTGTATAATCTTTAAGAAGCATATGTATTACAGTTAGATCTAGAGTATCCCACAGTTGGAATCTAAATAATTAGTAGTCTGATTTTCAGACATCCACATTTTTAATCCCTTCATTTATTTACTAAAAGTTTATCAAGATAATTTGAGCAGACACTATGCCAGGTACTGAGGAAACAAAGATATGTTACATGTAGTCTCTGCCCTGAATGGGACTTCCTCTATTGATAAAACTAATTCATTAATATTTTAAACTAAAAACAAAAGAAAGGAAGAAAACTTGCTCTGTAAGGTGTAGAAAAAGTTGTAGCAAAAACAGTGTAGAGGAATTAAAAAGAGAAGCTTCCTAGGTGGAGAAGTAAGAATCATGGAAACTCAAAGTCCTTAACTTCATGGAGTATTTTTCCTTTTCCTTTTCAAGGAACCTAAAAGGGGACCGAGTTATGCCGGAGGAGATCGCTCGCTACTACAAACATTATGTAAAAGTCATGGGTCTGCAGAAGAACTTCAGAGAGAATACATATATAACCTCTGTGTCAAGACTTTACAGAGATCAAGATGATAATGATGGCCAAGACAGAGATCTTTCAACAAAGCATTTGCAGATAGACAAGTCAAAATTTATCAAGAGGAACTGGGAAGTTAGGGGTTATCAGCGAATAGCTGATGGCTCTCATGTTCCCTTCTGTCTCTTTGCTGAGAGTGTAGTTTTGGCAACTGGAACACTGGATTCTCCTGCCCATCTGGAAATTGAAGGGGAAGATTTTCCTTTTGTGTTTCATTCAGTGCCTGAATTTGGAGCTGCTGTAAGCAAAGGAAAGTTGCGTGGCAAAGTGGATCCAGTGTTAATTGTAGGTTCGGGGCTTACTGCAGCTGATGCAGTACTGTGTGCCTACAACAATAATATCCCTGTGATCCATGCATTTCGCAGACGAGTAACTGATCCAAGCTTAATTTTCAAACAGCTTCCCAAAAAGCTTTATCCTGAATATCACAAAGTCTATCATCTGATGTGTACTCAGTTATATTCCATAGACTCGAATTTATCTGATTATACCAGTTTCCCTGAGCACCATGTGCTTTCTTTTAAGTCGGACATGAAATGCATTCTTCAGAGCGTCTCTGGATTGAGGAAAATATTTAAGCTCTCTGCAGCAGTAGTATTGATAGGTTCTCATCCTAATCTGTCTTTTCTGAAGGAACAGGGGTGTTACCTAGGCCACAATGCAAGCCAGCCAATTACATGTAAGGGTAATCCTGTAGAAATAGATGCATATACCTATGAGTGTGTTAAAGAAGCCAATCTTTTTGCACTGGGTCCTTTGGTTGGGGACAATTTTGTTCGATTTTTAAAGGGAGGGGCACTGGGTGTTACACGCTGTTTAGCTACAAGACAGAAGAAAAAGCAGCATTTATTTGTTGAAAGAGGAGGAGGAGATGGGTTAGCTTAAAGTAAAAGTACAAGTAATTTATATGGACCATTTACCATTAAAGATTTTTAATACAGTGGTTTTGCAGTGTTCTGGCTTGCACTTTCTGGACCTGAATTGCCTAGAGGAGAGCCTCAAGCTCTAGAAATCATTTTTTTTTTTTAAAGTTATAAGAACTTGGTGTCCTATTTATACTGTAATGTATCAAAAGTGTCATTGTCAGAGAAATAGAAACACTGCCAAGTTGTCTCACATAAGTTACGCTTTCATTTAACGAAAACATTCTTTTCTTCCATGACTGACTTTTGATAATTTTTGATTACTTCTTGTGTTTGATTCTAAAACATTACAGCATTGAGTCTATAAAACCACACAGTCATTAGACCAGAAATTGTCCTATTTGACATTGGGACACCTTGCTGGTTAAAGGACCAGCAGCATAGCTTGTTAGAAGTGCAGACTCTCAGGCCCCAGAACAGAGTTAACCCAATCAGAATCTGCATTATAACAAGATCCCCAAGTGGTTTGTATGCACCTTAAAGTTGGAGAGACATTGATCTAAAAGAAAATGGTATATAAGGTGTGTCTGCTGGGGGTGGGGCAGGGACTTAGGGGGTGCATTTAAAACTCAGGTTTTATTTATTTTGAAATTACCAACTGTATAAATCTAATTTATTACCAAATATAATGGTCTTTAAAAAAAAAGATTTTTATTGCTGATACCTTGACAGGAAATTCATATTCTTAGCTTCTAATAAATTTAAACAGTCCAATAATGTTGGCATGTACTTAGATATCAAAGAACCAGCCAAGATAATTTTTGGAGATTTGTTCTCTTCTTACCTACCATAATACTTAATTACTCCAATTTGCATTTCAATAAAATACTGATGGAACTACTTATTTGTGTGTGAATAATGAGTTAATTTCTGTTACTGAATGAACCTAAGATAACTTGGACATGGTAAATACTAATAATATGATAATGTTTTGTAATTGCCAGAATTACTAAAGGTTAAATTGAAAATAAGGTTAAAACCTGTCTCTTCATTCCCAGTGTCACTATTGCTTTGACATTTCTGAGTGTTGTTTTTCATTGGAGATGATAAAGCAAGTCATACTGTGGTTATTTATTGAATTTGTCTGCTCTATCTTGATTTATTTAGATGTACTTAATCTCTATATTTTGACACAGATTCCCATAATTTTTAATGTTAAACCAAAAAACACCTTTTTTTCTGAAGTTCTCCATGGCAGCTTAAATTTCTCAACGCTTGGTGAAACTTATTTTATCTGAAATGTGTTCACTGAACATGTAACTCTTCCGTTTTTCTTAGAATTAAAAAAAAGTGAGCCAAATTGTCATCATTTTTGTCTATTTTATTGCAGTCTTACATGCTTAATTTACTAGAGATTGTAATTTACCTTGAATATAATGGAGAATACATTCGCTTCTACAATCTGGCTGCTTCAGATAAATTCTGATTAAGTTTAACTTGATGTTACAAACCATGTAATCTAATTTTAGTTTCCTATTAATTTTTCAAAGTAATTTCACACCCAATTGAAATAGTGTTATAACATTCTCTGACTGTACTTAATTAAGTATTCTCTGGTTTGCCTGGTCTTTTATAGTTCTAGATGAGTTGGGATTAGATGTTTTCTTAATGTCACTTCTAACTTGAAAATAATGGCTTATAAAGGTGAACTCCGGGAAAGGGTAAGACTTGTTATCCCCTTGTGTCTGAAAAGC